AGGATGTTGCTCTTTTAAAATGAGAATTTTTACAAAAGGCATTAGACCTGTCCTTTTTGCTGTCACATTCTTTTCATTTCTGCAATTATCATTTGTGAAGTAAAACTCAACGAGGCAATACATGACACATGCACATTCTGATACCATCGGGCTGGCATGGATTTGAGAAGGTAGCCATGATGGTAAAGACCCAACAACATCTCTATCAACTGCATGCCTAGTACAACCCTAATGTTTTACATCATCAGGATAGTAAGTTGCATATACACATAAGTTGTCATATGTGCATTAGACAAACCAACTGTTCCATGCACACCAATGTTGGATTCCATACTTCGAGATGATGTAATCACAAGTGTAGTGACAGCTGAAATGGAAATTATTATAGGTTCTGATAGAGTCAGGTAAAACACCCTGACAATTGGCAATTCAATAAAGTTTGCATCTTCCATGATGCAATGCAAAACAGTAAGCCAGGGAAAACAAGTGGGAGAGATTCATCATATTGGTTTGAACTCTTCCACTAGGTTGGAAGCAGCAGCTTCAGTGAATAATCAACCATTCAAGCATCTTTCACTAACACGTCATCTTTTCATGCCAGTCATGGGTTCAGCAACATTGAAAAAACCACTTCAGAATATTCTAACCAGCATGGCTAGTCCTTAAACTTTCAAAGAATCACAACACAATACTGATTTTTGTGTCAAGATCAGAAACAAGTATAGGCCACTCTAAGAAAAACTGTGAAATACACTTCTGGGAAAGGGAATGCCAATATACTTGGCTGTCTTGGATCCAATCATATCCAGGGGATCATAGCCACTTTTCTCTCCATACCTCAATGACTCCCCACTCCCTTGAAAGGATACCAGGTAGCCCAAAGACTAGCATCATGAACATCAATATAAAAAGTTGTGGACTTCATTACCCTCCCATCACCCTTTCCCATATCTTTCCTATTTCCATTCATTTATTCAACTCGGCTGAGTTTAGACCTATAGGAAATTTCTTGGGTGTTTTGGCTCCAAAAGCATGGTGGAATTCGTTGTGGTTATAGTAATTCAAAATAATATTAGAAAATGTAACTCCACACTTCAGCAGAGGCATGCACAGTGGTATAGTCAGGACCTTTAAAGACCAATACTTTCAAACGGTAGCTTTATTAAGAATTCATGGGAAATGGGAGCGGCGATGGCCTTCACCTAACCTTTGGCAGTTCCCACAGGCCTCATGAAACTCATGACAAGGCCTTCGCAACCACTATGGTAAGGGTCAAAGGAGCGGGTTGAAAACTCCGATTCAATGATGCGTTCGTATATGCTGATGAAAGATATGACCTCATTGGAATCATGCACGAGGCACGCAATATTTCGAAACAGTACAGGAATGAGATTAGCTAACATTTTTGACTACTTTTAGTTTTGAAAATTCCAATCTTAATTGGCATCGACATCGGCTAGCCATTCTTAAGCTAACAAAAATTACAGGTTGCGAATGAAAATCATACGGGCGTTGATATAGATCAAACGTAGTTGCTTTGCCAATGATCGATGATTGGCCTCGAGTTGTTTACAGTTCGCCGGAATGGGAGCCGCCATGATGTAAGACCTTTTTCCCCCGACACTTGTAAGATGTCGCTACTCGCCAAGGGTGTCTCTTGCCGCCATCGGACGATCTTAGGCGTAACGGAACAGGATGAGTAACTGTTAATTCCGGTAATTTCTCACTTTGGGTCACTTTTGATCAATCTGTTACGCCAGACAGCAGCTCCACGGTTCCTCCTAAGTCTCCATAGGTCTCCAATGGCGATGATTGGTTTGCAGAGCTGGGGCAAAATACAAGTGACTGAGTATTTAAATGCTACATACAAATGCCCATAAAGAAAATTATTGTAAATACAAATAAAAATACAACTAATAATATATCAACTACAAACTAAAAAAAAGTTTGCATCGTACCTTTCAGATTTTGTCCAAAATCAGGAATCCTCCAGAAGTTGTGACCATCAGCCTTCACAGCACATAACACAACCTGAGCAGGGCATTCTTCCCGTTTTCCTTTCTGAAATCCAGGCTATTACACCTTATACCATTCATTATCCTCAACAAGGTCTGAGTGTTGTCTCTGAAGGCAGAAAACAGAATTATTAACCTGAATAGGCAAGATTCGGGCTTGCACAAGGCATAGGTCTAAAGATGGCATATATATAACAAATGAAAACCCTTCATTGGGCCAAGGACAAAGGTCAGTCCATCCACACTAAGAAATTGCAACAATATGACAAAAAGTACGGAGAAGTAGGCTGTTGCACCTGGAGTTCCACTAATCATTCCCCTCCCTCCCCCTTAAACGCATTGAAATACGAATTTTAAATGCAATTATTTAAAATACCTCCCACCTCTGTTGGTATGAACTCACACTCGCTGCAGGATATTGAAGCAATGGTCGGTCGAAACTGGAAGACAGTTGCTCTCACAACAAAAAAAATCATCAAAAAAGGTATTACTGGGCTCTCGAGTTCTCTATTCTCGTCTGGCACTTGGAAAACGCGTTTTGGATCCGGAATGGCGACGAGTGACCGACGCGGATCTCATCGCAGAAGCGTGCGAACGGCGTCCAACCCGGCACCGACTCAATGAAACGCATCGAATCCTCGCGATTCCCCCGAAATCAGAATATAACGTATTCCCTAGAACTGAATTGCACGAGAAAGGTTTCAGAGGGACCGTCACACTATGAGGTCCCTCTATTCGCTATGCAGACGAACTGAATCGATCTAGTTCATCCTTTGGTCACGAAAAAGTACAAATACGCTCGTATCGGCACTTCATTTACTCCACCAATAAGTTTTCAAGTTTCCAGGACCATGCGGAACATGCGATCACACGAGGTTTCAGCCAACATAGAGTAAATATCCCTCCCACCATCGCCAACTGATGACCGGAGATCATGACACTGCCACGTCTATCCTGATTGGTGGACAACACGACTGCCACGTCGATCTTGATTGGTGGACAACTCCACTCCCATGCCTATCCTGATTGGTGGACAACTCCACTCCCACGTCTACCCAGATTGGTGGACAACTCCACTCCCACGTCTATCTTGATTGGTGGACAACTCCACTCCCATGCCTATCCTGATTGGTGGACAACTCCACTCCCATGCCTATCCTGATTGGTGGACAACTCCACTCCCACGTCTATCCTGATTGGTGGACAATACGACTGCCACGTCTATCTTGATTGGTGGACCTTCCAACCGTGATCCCGTTCCCAAGAACATGACTAGACGAGCCTCCACATCCCCGACGCCTTCCTCTTGTTACGGTATCAATGAAGTGATCCGTTCCAAAATTCTTCCCGTCTTCTCAAGAACAAGAAAGTAGAACTCCCAAATGGAAGGGTTTTGAGAAAAGATTTCATTTGAGAACTCATTCTTGATGAAGAATGTGGCTAGAAACAAATTCCCCCCAGATGCCATTGTGACCGTTAGTTACAGAACAGCCTCAATACACACCCGCCTCGTTGAAGGACCTTCGTATTTTTTTTAGTCCTGAATGGTGCACTTGTTGGGTCGTGTAGGACGAATCGGGCCAGCCGTCGGCCCGTGCAATCCTATGGTACGGCGAACGCCGGAGATGCCTGAATGGGAATTGAAGTTCGCGCTTGTTTTACGTGTTGTTATCAATCCTCAGTATTCAAAGAGCGACACGTCGTCCAGGTTATGCATCATATTTAATAATGCACTTTTTTTGTATTTAACACTTAAAGATTTACTCATGTAAATGATATGTATAAATATTTCTTTGCAGATTTGGGATCCTTAGCCCAAAAACCATTGGGGGTTCGTCTGGGGAGGCCCAGTCTCTTCAAAAATTCAGAGAAAACCCATCTCAATATAATTGAAAATATCCATCAGGATAGCAAATAACTGAACAAAAATCTTCGATACACATTGGATTCATTCTCAATTGACAGAAAACGAGCGAAGTCCGGTCTCTGACAGTATGCTCCTGCCTAGAATCGCGCATGGCAGACCAGAGTCTCGTAGCCTCCTCTGGCACATAGACGATGCATAGGGGCAGGACCAGAGAGGCAGGACCGTCCATATGGGGGGGGGGGGGGGGGGGGGGGGGGGGGGGGGGGGGGTG